CCGGGCCTCGGAGTACAGGGGCAGCACCAATCAAAGGCAAGGACTTCTGCTGTAAAGCTGCTGTTACTTCCCCGCAGTCTCTTATCCCCTCTCATTGCTCCCAACAGCAGGAAGCTCTTTCTCGTTTCTAATTTTATCTCTTGCATCTCTGTAGGCTGGGTGGGGAAGTGGAGAAAAGAGCCACTTGGCGTCCTCACAGCAACTCACAGGTGCTGGGAAAGTTAACCCTCCTCTCTGGGCAGCATCATGCCTTTCCTGTTCTTTTTGGCTTTTCTTTCACAACTACTGAATTGTCTGTTCCTCTTCTCTGACCCACTTCAGTGTCTTTGTAAACTGCAGACTTTGAATAACAATCCTGGCAAATTAAACAGGACAGAGGGTACTTGAGATATAATTTCACTGGCCAGCTAGATGCAGGAGCCGTTTCTCACAGGAGTGGTACAAAGTAAGCCTGCAGAATTACCGATATGGCAGAACATGCAACATCGTCCTGCCTTGTTGCTAGGACGGAGCAAACAGCAGTTCAACCTAAGTCCCTGTCTTTTCAGAGCAGGGATATGGTCCCCTCCCTTGGTTGCCATGGGGATGGGAGCAGGCACCCTCAGGGAGGAGGAGCCCAGCATCTGGTCTTTGAAAGTCTCCTCCACTCTAACGTAGTCACCCTTGTTAGAGCTGGTGCTGGTGTTTCTGTACCAGAGGCAGAGAAGTCAGCTCTACCTGAGAGCAGACGTGGAGGGAGAGGGGATATTTCGGAACAAAAATCCAGCATCCCACTCTGGAAATGTTAGTGTATTAGTAAGCTTAGGCTGCAGTAACAAAATATCGTAGAAATAATGCCATTTGCAGAAACATGGGTGGACCTGGAGATTGTCCTACTGAGTGAAATAAGTCTGACAGAGAAAGACAGATATCGTATGATATCACTTATATGTGGAATCTAAAAAAAACGATACAAATGAACTTATTTACAAAACAGAAAGAGACTTATAGATATTGAAAACAAACTTATGGTTGCCAAAGGGGAAAGGTGGGAGAGGTATACATTAGGAGTTTGTAATTAATATACACATACTACTATATATAAAATAGATAATCAACAAGGACCTACTGCAAAGCACAGGGAGCGCTATCGATATTCTATAATAACGTATATGGGAAAAAAATCTGAAAAAGAATGGACGTGTATATGTATAACTGAATCACTTTGCTGTATACCTGGAACTAACACAACATTGTAAATCAACTATACTCCAATATAAAATAAATATTAAATTTAAAAAATTAACATAGACTGGGCCGATTAAACAGAAATGTGTTTCCTTGAAGTTCTGGAGGCTGAAAGTCTGCAATCAGGATGCTGCCATGGTCAGGTTTTGGGGAGGGCCCTCTTCTTGGCTTGTAGACAGCTCACTTCTCTGTGTCCTCATGTGGCCTTTCCATGGTGTGTACATGTGGAGAGAGAGATCTCTCTCTCCTTCTCTTCCTATAAGGTCACCATCCCATCATGGGGGCCCCACCTTCACAACCTAATCTAACCCTAATCACCTTCTGAAGGTCCTGCCTCCAGATACCACCACATTGAGGGTTGGGGCTTCACCATATGGGTTTGGGGGGGACACAGACGTTCAGTCCCTGACAGTTTGTTTTCTATTTCTGCAGAGCAGATTTCTGCAAACTTTGCAGCTTAACACAACACCCATTCACCATCTCACAGATTTCTTGGGTCATGAGTCTGGACATGGCTTAGTAGGGTCAACTGGCCAGGGTCCCACAGGCTGCAGTCAAGGTGTTGCCAGGGCAACATCATTTCAAGATGCCGTCCCTGGGGAGAGTCACGGAATAGCACATCCTACTCACACTCAAGGGGAAGGCATTATACAAGGTCGGGATCTCCATGCCTCATTGCGTTTGATGGTTTTATTCTTTGCCTTCGTATAGGGGACTTGGACCCATTCCCAATTATAGTTATTATTGATATTTAGAAATGTAAATTATCTTCAAGAAGCAAATAGTCCATGTTTGTTGGAAGTAAAATTATTTGAGGGGATTTGTGGAATTATAACTTCATGATGAAGATGGGAAATGTCAAGAATTTTTACTGTGGCCTAAGATAAGTGCTGTTAACTTCCTTTGTGTTTAGAAACCCCTGCTCTTCGGAGGTCCAGTAAAATCCCTGTTGTAAGTGGCCTGGTCATTGTAGGGACTTGATAGTTTTTTTTTTTTTAATTTATTTATTCATTTATTTATTTTTGGCTGTGTTGGGTCTTCGTTTCTGTGCGAGGGCTTTCTCTAGTTGTGGCAAGCGGGGGCCACTCTTCATCGCGGTGCGCGGGCCTCTCACTGTCGCGGCCTCCCTTGTTGCGGAGCACAGGCTCCAGATGCGCAGGCTCAGTAGTTGTGGCTCACGGGCCTAGTTGCTCCGTGGCACGTGGGATCTTCCCAGACCAGGGCTCGAACCCGTGTCCCCTGCATTGGCAGGCAGACTCTCAACCACTGCGCCACCAGGGAAGCCCGAGACTTGATAGTTTTAGCAGCTTCAGCTTAGAAGATGAAGGAGTTCTGTCTGTGCGTATCAGAGAGGACTTGAGAGGTCTGGGGTGGTTTGGGAGTTCAGTGGGGCCCCATGTTCCCTCGAATTCCTAGGCCCTTCTTGGGTGAGGAGGCGTTGGGCCACGTCTGGAAGGATGGGTGAAATTTCATCTGGTAGAAATGAGAAGGAGAAGGCAGAGCGTAAGTGGACATCTTCTGGGAGATAGTCTGAGAATTCTCATCCTCTCTCCAGCCTCAGTCTGGGCGTGGCAGTGTTGGTGTGAAGGGCAGACAGAGGACACTGTGGAAGCCCCATCCTAGGCGGATGGTGGGGTCAGAGCTCAGCCCCCAGAGCTTGGCCATCATCTGAAGGAAGAGAAAGGGGTGGGGCTGAGGCAGGGGGCCAGGAGGTGGGCGGTGACAGGAGGGGAGTGCTGAGTATGGAGGGAAGACAGCCTGCAGGGGTTCCGTTCCAGGGCTCGTGTTTGAGAAATGCAGTGGCTTTGGTGCCCGAAGTGGCCAGGACATGAGTGGAGGGTCACTTAGGGCGGTGCTGGTGGGAAAGCAGGGACCGGATTTGTGTGGGTCTGGTTGCCCGTCCAGGGAGGTGACATTCACCTGACAGGCGTCCAGCGCAGTTCCAGTGGAGGGGCAGAGGTGAGTGAGTGGCAGAGCACCCCGTCCAGGCAGGTAAATCATGAGAGCGAGGGCAAGCAGAGGGGGAGGAGAGGTGTCGAGAGGAAGAGCCAACCCAGCTTCACGACTGCGGCTCCTGAATGCGCCAGGAGCTCAGATGTTGATGGCGGAGTTGGCAGAAGTTTTGGATTCTCCACAAGAAGGTTTGGAGGTGGAGAGAAGAGGTCAGGGTGTGCGCTCTCCAGCATGAGGTGATGGTGAGAGTCCCGACAGCCTATCCTTAGGAGAAATGGCAGCTCAGTCCAACGGAAAATGACTAGGGGGAAGTCGTGTGTCCATTGAGGAGGAAGAATTCGACACCAGAGAGGGTGTTCTGGTGGGTGGAGTGTTGGGTGCGGAAGGGGAGATGGCGGCTTTAGAGGCACGTGGAGAAGAATGACGGAGACTTGGCCTCGGAGACCGTGGGGCAGGGGGGTGGGGAACAGCAGCCCAGGGTTTCTGTGACGGCTGCAGCTGGAGCTGGGCAGCATCACGGAGAGGGGAGACTCGGGAGGTGGGAAAACGGTTGTCCAACATTTGCAGCACTGGCTGCGTTCGGAAGAGGTACGTGCCCTGAAGAGAGAAGGTAGATGTGACAGGCTGGGGAGCAGAGCATGCGGAAACTCTTCCATTCATTCTTTTCTGTTAAGTGTGTGTGTGTGTGTGTGTGTGTGTGTGTCTGTGTGTGTGTGTGCGCGCGCGTGTGTGAATAAGGTTTAAAGCCTTTCGTATAAAGACAACTGGTCCGGGTGTTGTTGGACATCTGAGACCAGCACGGCACTGGGTGGGTGGAGGCTGCAGGGTCTAAGACTCGGTCCTGCTCAGTGCAGAGGTGCTGGAGGGTGAACTGGGCTCTGTCACCATCGGGACCTTGTGGGTCTGTTCAGTTGCGCGTTCTGCTCTGGGTCTGGGGTCGGTCCTTTTGGAATCCCGGGGAAGGGCAGCCCGGCCCCTCCAGCCTGGTCCCGGACTGCCTGGCCCAGGCCCACTGTGGAAAGTCAAGGTGGTAACGGCCTTTGTCTGTTGCATCCAGCTACCCCTCTGAAGGCAGATTGCGGTGGGCAGTGGGCGTGGGGTGCAGCTGTGTCTCTGTGGTCCAGTGGCCCTGCCTGGACACAAGGAGACTGGGAATATGGGGATCAGCAAACATGGGTCTGACGTGGGCTTGGGGGGCAGCCCGGAAGAAGGGTGTGCCAGGAGCCGAGGGTGGTTCTCCTGGGAGTTGGCAGACAAAGGGCGACAGGGGAGCCAGGGCGGAGGGGGCACTGCTGGGGAGGTTCTGGGGGGACACGCTCGGCAGGGCGGGGGCCAGGGGTCGGGCAGGGCTGGCCTGGGCCGGGGCGGGCAGCTTAGAGCCAGTGTGGACAGCGAGGGAGCCTCCTGGGTGGGGTGAGAGTGAAGGGGAGACCCCTGTAGGGGCTGGGGGGGGTCCCAGGTGTGGGAGAACAGAGGGAGCCTTCAGGCCGCTGGGCAGGTTGCGCGTGACCTGTGAGTGGGGACAGCACCGCCCTCCCCAAAGTAGTGTGTTCAGTGCTGTCTGTGATGTTAAATCACACAGCAAGTGTCTCTCAGGACCTGGGGGGATAAGGCTGAGGGCCCGGGGGTGGGTGGGAGGCTCGTTCAGAAAGCGCATCTGCTCTCGGCATCCCTGCGAGCTGGTCACTCTGGCCCCGCGTGGTGGCTGCGGGTGTGACTGTCGGGAGGGACAGACCCACCACCATGACCCACTCCTGCCTGCGTGCTGTACTCTAGAAAAGTCCTGGGAGGCTCCTCACCCCCTGCTCCCTCTGTTCCAGGTGCTGCTGTCGGGACTTATCGGCGTCGTCTCCTGGAAGAGGCCCCTGTCCCTCGTGGTAAGTGGCACCCGCGTCCCCATGCGGCCATGGAGCAGGGCTCTGCCCGCGGAGGTGTGAGTGCTTTCAAGGCGCGTTCGTCTTGACCATGGGCGTCCTGCTGCCCCCTCCACGGGCGCTCACGGGCCATCCTCTTTCTGTTTTTCAGTGTTGTGCCCTCTTGGAGGACATGCCACCAACAAAGGCATTTTAATAAGTGCAGATGCAAGCGTTTTCTCTAGACTGATAAACACGATCGTGCACATGCATATGCTTACGGGTGATCACACAATAGGACGTAGCTCATCCGAGTTCGAGAAATGTTAGCTTTCTGTGTGTTTTGGAGACTGTGAAACTCTATGAGGTATTGGTATTTCTTTGCATAGATGTTTCTTTGGAAGAAGGAAGAAAAGGGTGCCCCTGGAGCCCTGTCTTATGGGGTCAGGCCTCATGCTGGGGAGGAAGACGCCACACGGGGGGTGGAAAGAGGATGATGGTTTTTCCATCTGAAAGTACCCGGGGTGAATTTATGTCTATTGATTTGTATGTGTGTTCTTCTCAGCATGTGCATTAATATATTTATGTGTCCACGTCAGGACTATACAGAGAGGTTTTCTGGGTTTTGATGGATAATGAAAAAGACGGCATGGATTTTTTTCCTCTTAGGTAGTAATCAATTATTTAAAATCTCTTCTTTAAGTGATTAGACTTGGAGATAATGACATACTAAATATTAATGGAAATAGAAAAAAACCCACAAATCTTGTCTGTTGTAAACACCTCCTCCTTCGTGAGGGGAATCATGACATCCTGAAAAGGCACTGGGAGGGAGGGGTAGTTTAATTCAGGGGGCCTCCTCTTATACAAAATACTGAGAAATTTCCTTAAAATTTTTTTATATTGACATTTTCAAATATTCACCAGAGTAGAGAGACTAGTATAGTGAACCCCGTGTACCCCTATCCGTCCTCAATGGTATCAACATTGACTGGTCCTGTTTCATCTCAGCCCCTTGCTGGATTATTTTAAAGTAAATCACGGCTTGTGTATTGAGACACTGAGTCTCCTGTGCAGGGGCAAATGGCGGCAGACACTGGGCCGTGGGTCCCCTTCAGGGAAACGGGGACAACCTGCCCATCCCTCCTGACCTACCCCCACCTTGCAGGGCAGAGAGAGTAGGCCCTCAGCCTGGCGTCTGGACAGAGGAAAGCCGCCCTCCTTCGGGTGGGTGTGTGGGATGGGAGAAAGGGCACCCGTCCCCCGGCCACCGCACGCCTGCCCCAGCCCTACCCTGGGACGGAGCTTCTCGGGACTGGGCATCTTACCGTGAAGGATGCACGTGCTCATGCCTGCTGAGGGGTCAGGACTCCTTGTGCAGGTGGCGCAGGTGTGTCCTTGGGGTGGGGGGGTGCCCGCAGCAGTAGGGTGGGTCTCGGGGCCTCGCCCAAGGAGGGTGGCCCCAGCGGGAGCCCCTGCAGCCGAGCTTTCCAGGGGCTCACCCCCCAGCTCCGCGCAGCCCAGCAGCTCTCCAGGTAGACGAGGAGGAAGGGCTCCCCCAGCTCAACTGGCTGCTTTGCTGAGTCAGGGAGGTAAGGGGTCGGTTAGGGTGACACCAGCTGCTGTCAGACCCCAGACTTCGTGTCTTAACCCCGTGAACATCTGCTTCCTGCTCCCATCCAGGCGGGCCTTCCAGGCAGCGGCTGCTCCCCCCACACCAGATTCAAAGACCCCGCTTGCTTCCACCAGTGGCCCTGCACTCCCCAGGCCCGTGGGGTCCCCTGCATTTCAGTGAAGGGGGGAGAGGAAGGAGAAACACGTGCTCCTTGAGTTCCTTGGCCTGAAAGGGACACTCATGCTTGCACGTCACACCAGTGGGGAGGGCTCGTCACGGGGCCCGAAGCGTGTCTGGTTGGGAAGGAAGCTGAAAAAGGTGGTCCCTCCCTGGACGGGTCCCTCCCAGAGACGGCCCACGTTGTGGAGTGGGGACAGAGTCTTGGCGGAGAGCTGGGTGTCTCTGCTGTAAGGACACTCTTCTGTCTGTTGACCAGGATGATACAACTTCTGATTCGTTTGCAGAAAACTCAACTCTCTGAACTGTGAGCGTTGATGTGGCCTTAGTTTTCCTCCCTTCCCAGCCTCACCCTGACACCTGGACCCTCTGGACTGCCGGCGTGTGGTGTGGGCCTCGACTGACAGGTCCTCCCCGACCCCTCTGGCCTCTGCCCTGCCCTTCCACTCATTAGGGCTCGCTTCTCGCTGCTTCCTGGAAGCCCTCCTTCCCCCCAGCCTCCTCCGAGCGTCTGCGTCCAAGCCCCTTATCCTGTTCCACAACATGTAGGGCCCACCTGCAAACTACTGTTAACAGGAACCACGTGCTGGGCGTTTCCTTCGTGCTAAGCCCTGCACGGGATCTGCTGAGCTTATCCACACAGTATCCTTGTGAGTAAGCTACTGTTTTTATCCCCATTTTCCAGAAGAAAAGGAAGACTTAGAAAGGTAAATATCTTGCCTAGGGTCTCACAGCTAGAATGGCTTGAAGTCTTGATTTAAATAATTCCTTTTTTTTGAGAATTATTTTTTATTGAGGTGACATTGGTTTATAACATCATATAAGTTTCATGTGTACAGCCTTATATTTCTACATCTGTGTACGCTGCAGTGTGCTCATCACCAAATATCCAGTTTCTATCCATCACTCCTCCACTGAGCCCCTTTCCCCTCTGGCAACCACTATTCTGTTCTCTGTTATCTACGTGTTTGTTTTTGGTTGCTTTGGTATGTTCGTTTATTTTGTGTTTTGTTTGTTTTTAAGATTCTACATACAAGTGAAATGATACAGTATTTGTCTTTCCCTGTCTGACTTACTTCACTTAGCATAAAACCCTCAAGGTCCATCCATGTTGTCACAATTGGCAAGATTTTACCTTTTTTATGGCTGAGTAATAGTCTATTGTATATATGTACCACATCTTCTTTATCCATTCCTCTGTTGATGGACACTTAGGTTGTTTCCATGTCTTGGCTATTGTAAATAGTGCTGCAGTGAACATCGGGGTGCATGTGTCTTTTCAAATTAGTGTTTTCTTTTTCTTCAGATATATGCCCAGCAGTGGGATTGCTGGGTCGTATGGTAGTTCTATTATTAATTTTTTGAGGAACCTCCATACTGTTCTCCATAGTGGCTGCACCAATTTACATTTCCACCAACAGTGTAGGAGGGCTCCCTTTTCTCCACATCCTCTCCAGCATTTATTATTTCTTGCCTTTTTGACAATAGCCAGTCCAATGGGCATGAGGTAATAATCTCATTGCAGTTTTGATGTGTGTTTCTCTGATAAATAGTTATTTTATATCAAGCTCCAGTTTTATCCTTTACTCTAATGGTATGTTTCCATCTTCCTGAGGCATAAAACTGAAGAGGCCACTGTGAGTTCTGGTTCATTTCCAGGGGGACACGACACGCCCCACCCCTGCAAATGACCACCAGAGCAAGTTGCCCTCTCTGAAGGGAGGTGTCTGCCCCTCGAGGTGTTGGAAGAGCCTCGCAGGCTGGCTGGGGGAGGCCAGGAGTGACGCTGATGTGGGGCTGCGGGGGCTGCCCTCTGTCGGTTGACCGTGTCTCTCCTCCGACGGGCTGGTGAGCGTGGACCCGTCACAGCCCTGCTGGGCCTCCTTTCTCTGCCTCACTCTGAGCCCGTCAGACAGAGTGAGGTGAGGGAGGGGGTGTAAGCTTCAGGCCAGAGCGACTTGATGTGTTGTGGGTGGTGGAGGGACTTGCGTTGGGAAAGAGGACAAGGTGGGGGCAGCAGGCTGGCTGATGGGGGCAGGAAGGAGGCCGCCCTTTCCAGCTGGGGCCTGTGATGTGAGGGGAGGAGGAGGGAGATGCTGTGACATTCTCACCATCGTATTTTCTAAGAGCCTTTCCAAATTCTGAAACAAGGCAGGCGCTACGCCAGTAGAGAATACGTATGTTCACATTTTTTTTTCCTTCATTTTTTTCTATGTGCTAAGTGTCTCCTATGATTGAGATAATTGTCTTCCTTACATCAAACTATAAAAGGTTCTACATTACGCTAGATGCCAATTAAGATTCAGATTGTATAGCTCTGATTAGCTCATGTTTTTGAAAGATTCAGTGGCATGTCTTGTGATTGCTTATACATATATCAGTATTGGAAACAGTCTCACACATGATCACAGGTAGTACAGGAGCCCCCTCCCACCATCCACGGTCCCACTTTACACGGTTTCAGTTACCCACCCTCAGCTGCAGTCTGAAGATATTAACTGGAAAATTCCAGAAATAAACAATTCCTAAGGGCTTCCCTGGTGGCGCAGTGGTTAAGAATCCGCCTGCCAACGCAGGGGGCACGGGTTTGATCCCTGGTCCAGGAAGGTCCCACATGCCGTGGATCAACTCAGCCTGTGCGCCACAACTACTGAGCCTGCACTCTAGAGCCCACGAGACACAACTACTGAGCCTGTGCTCTAGAGCCCGCGAGCCACAACTGCTGAAGCCTGCGTGCCTAGAGCCCGTGCTCTGCAATAAGAGAAGCCACCGCAGTGAGAAGCCCGCTCACCCCAGTGAAGAGTAGCCCCCACTTGCCGTAGCTAAAGAAAGCCAGCGCACAGCAACGAAAACCCAACGCAGCCAAAAATAAATAAGTAAAATAAATTTTTTTTAAATTAAAAAAAACACAATTCATAAGTTTTCAATTTCTTTCTGTTCTGAGTATTGGGGTGAAACCCATGCCATCCCACTCCAACCCCCCTGGAATGTGAATCGTCCCTTTGTCCAGTGGGTCCCACCTGTTAGTCACTCAGTAGCCATCTGGGTTATCGGAGCGACTGTCGCAGTGTCTCGGTGCTGTAGTCAAGTGACCATTATTTTACTTAATAAAGGCCCCAAAGCTCAAGGGTAGTTATGCTGGCAATCTGGATACACCAGAGAAGCTGTAAAAGTGCTAGACTTAATAAGGAAAGAAAACTCGTACGCTGAGTTTGCCAAGATCTACAGTGAG